CCCCCCGCGGACTCTGCCCACCCGTGGGATGAGACACTGGTGGAGAAGAGGGGGGGGTTTGGGCTCTACGGGGCGCCCCTTCCCCGGGGGGGGACGGTAACCCCAGCCTTGCCCGGGCTCGCAGCATCCCCTCGCCGCAGGGGCGGCCCGGCAGCAGTGCCCTGCTTGTCAGGAGCTGGTGGGCATCGAGGGGTGCTCAGCCACGCTGGGGCGCAGCCCTCGAGCAGGAGGTCCGCTGTACTGTGGGGCAGCGTTCCCTGGGGGATGTTGGGACTCCTGTACCGTGTCTGTAAAACTGATGGAGGGACGAAGGGATGAGTGCAGGGTTGTCCCGTCTCCCTCGTTGCAAAACTGCCCCGAGACCGTGGACGAGGCTGTCGGGCAAGTCTTGAGGCTTTGGGCTCTGATACTGCTCGAGGGGTCCAGCTCGCGCAGAAAGAGCGGGATGCTGCAATCTGCTCCGTCCGTTTGCCGGATGATTGACGGCATTTTGTGTTTCCAGACGCCGAACAGCTGTGGATCTCGGCAGCTTCTTCAGCACTGGTTGATAACCACTTGCAGGGCATCACGGAGAAAAAGCTCTGCTGGAAGCAAAATCCGCACTTGACCGTGCCGGCAGCTATCTCCGGCGACGGGACTGTGCGGCCAGGGGCGAGGCAGAGGGGATGGCAGCCGGAGCCGGGAGTGGCCCCGCCACGCCAAGAGAGATGATAATCCACCCACAAGACACGGCACAGGCGGCTCCCACCATTGGCATCTCCAACGTGTGGGACGCTGATAACCCTCCTGCTGCATGAGAAGGCAAAATTAAAAAGGAAAAAGAATGTATACATCCTTCTAATAAAAAAACTCTGCATTTAAAGACTAGGCCTTTCCCAGAGCCCGGAGATGTTGAGGCTCATGGGCAGAGTGTGGAGCATGGGTCTCGGCCAGGCACCCAAAACCCCTCTGAGCCAAGCCCAGCGTTCAACCTGTCCATGCCCCCCACGTGTCGCCGGGGGGCCCCGTGGTCCAGCATGGTGGCCCCCAGCCCCTTGCTGCTGCCGGGCAGGGCTGGGGGCCAGCGCTGGCTCCCGCCCTGGCCCCGCTGCCAACCCCGGTCTGCCAGGATGCAGGAGACAGGGTGTTTTTTCCACCAGTGCGTGGGATGCAGGAGGCATTTGCAGCGATGAGTTAACTCCTCTGCTGTGGAGCAGATCCTGACATGCAGTGCCCCTGTGCTGGCCTAACAGGTTTCAGGCTTTAAAGGATTTTATGCTGGATACTTTGGCAGTGGCTGCAATCTCCCTGCAGGACAGCCAGCACAGAGCAGTGCCGCAATTTCCCCGGATCCCTACCTCCTTAAATATGCCAGTAACATATTGCATGTCCGTGACCAATCATATCACCTCTCCGTGCCTCATTTCTTCATCAGCAAAGAGCACATAGAAATGCTGTCTTGCTTAAAGGAAATTAATACAGTTAATTAACACTTGGCCCTTCTAATATTCAAGGGCCCACTCTCTGGAGCCCTTGCACTGCAATACCATCATTACTGTGAAGCATTAGCAACAGTTAGGCCAGATGTTTGCACACAGTTAATGTTTCTTCCAGCTGGGGAGGGAGGGGAAAAAGGCAACCCCAACAGCCGGGTGGGAGCAAATGGCTGGTGGTGCTTTCCCCGTCCCCGGGGAGCCTCGGCCAGGCGCTTCCTGGGGTGACGCAGGGTTTGGGACACAGCTGCTGCACCAGCTGCTCCCGCTCACTCACAAAGGCTGGGGTTTCACACACACACCCCCCCCAATTCATGCAGGAGCTTATTTGGGGGGAGCAGGCTGTGCTCTGCCCCCCCCTCCCGCCACGCTGCCTGGCTGCGCTGCAACTTCCCCAAGGCTTTTAGTGCTGGCGGTGCTGAAAAAGGGCAGTTGTGAAGACAAATGAAAGGCAAATGCTGGTGGGAGAAGGAAGGGCAGGGGCTTTTCTTGCATGCATATGAGGGAAAGCAGATGAATCCCGTCTCCTGCACAGCTGCAGCCTCCTCTCGGCCTCGCCAGCCCTGCTAAGGAGTGGAGACGTGCTCCCAAGATTAGCTGTCTGGCGGGTGCTGCACAAAGATAAAGTCCTGTCCCCACAGCCCCACTTGGTCACAGAGAGGATCAAGAAGGCTATTCATATGCTTTGTACTCCAGCCGGATTTACCCTGCAGCAGTCACTGGGTTCGGGTGGGTTTTGGCTGCCTTGCGCATCGGGACAGACTCAGGCCGAGGGGTGTCTGCTGGCCCCCGCGCTGAAGGAAAAGCGCAGACCGGGGCTGCAGATGGAGCCAGAGCTGGTATCTACACTGCAAAATCATCTCCTGGCAGTGGGAGCAGGCAGGAGGAGGGCTGGCAGGATGCAAACCTGCATCCCTGTGCTCAGCTGACCTTAGCATGTAGGTGTCCCAGAAGCACATTTACTGTCCTTGTCAACCGTAGCGTGGTCCTGCTTTCAGCAGTTCCCATACGGACTGCGCTGAGCTGTCGCACTGGAGTGACTGTGTCGCGTGAAGGCAAGTGCGACTTCCCCCAGGGTCCCCTGCCAATGCTCCTGTTCCCAGCGCTTCAGTTCAGATGACGGCGTGCCGACAGCATGGCACGCTCTAGCTGCAAGAGGACCTGCAGAGGGGACAGGCAGCTAGGGAAAGCCCAGAGCCCCCATAGTCCTGCTATCCTGACCTTACTGCCCTCCACCTCCATCACCTTAGCCATCGCCTTTTTTCTACGGGAACCGAAGCGATTTTCTGATAGCACAAATAGATTAACTAAAGCTTGCTTGTGGCAGGAGGAGAGCATCACTGGTTTAGGTGTCTTCTCTCAGATCCTGGTCCCAAAAGCTAGGAACCGTCTGTTCCCTTGCATCTTGTTAGGGAAGACTGCATACCAGCAGTTCTTCTCCCTAGACATCAGACCAACTACTCTCCTGGATGCTGGGCACAACAGATTCAGCGGTGTTATTTCCTTCTCTCGTATGACGGCATCTGTCGTTAAAGCTCACATCAATCCGTAGAGTCTTTCAGTAGAAGCGACAGGGGCACAGAGCCCGCTCGCCCCCTGCTCTGCTCTTCACACCCAAACAGGGCAATCTTGTTCCAGCCTCCGTAAGACAGAGCAGTACAAACGCCTGCTTGCCACGCCAGTTGCTAGAAGCCCCTCCGTTTGAGGAGGCTCTTCGACGTCCTTCACTCAAGGCCTGCGGAGAAATGGAGAGGCTGAAGTGTTTCCCTCCTTGCAGGGCAGTATGTTGTGCAAATCGCCTGGGAGTCCTCAAGGAGTACATTTGGGAATAAGCCCCTTGATGTTGCCTTCTGTGCTTTAGCTTTTACCTAAACTTAGTAACTCTAGCCAGTCCAAGTTCACTTCCCAGCAGGTTCAGAGCACGGTCATTGGCACTGCCAAAAGGCAGGTAAAGTGTCAGAGCAAAACCTGTAGCTCACTCAGAGCTTCACTTGGAACAGAAGAAGGGCTCAGGTACAGTATGATGCTTTGAGAGGGGAAAAAATCCACTTTAAGATAGGCCTGACATCAGTTTGGAGGTGTTAATTTGGCTTCTCATGGGCTCAGGCTGGACACTCCAGTATTACAGCAGCTACAAAGCAGGAGGTTTTGTCTTACAGCTACTCAGCGCTCCCCTCGCAGAGGGACCTTCTTCTGCTTGGGATCAGGACCTCCCCTACCTGCCCATGCCGTAGGAAGCTCCTCACACGGGGACTGCTTTATCTCCATTACCACAGCTTTTACCTCTACAGCATATTCTCTCCGTAGCTCTTAGCTTGGAAGAGGCAGCAAAATCATCTATATACATCCTTATTTTGTCTAACTATTTGTATATGTCCTTATTTTGCTTAGCTAATGGGCAAAGCAGCTTCAGACTCGTGTCCAGCGCCTTGTACCTGCACCCTGCTCCGGCAGATGGTCTTGCCGCAAGCTGTCTGCCCTAAAAAGGAGTATTTGGGCAAGGACCAGGCACACAGACTGAAGCCAGGACTCCACACGCGAGCGGGGCAGTCACCGACAGAGCTTCCTCCAGCTGACTTCTCTCTGAACAGTTGCATGCTCTCTGCAACCACTCGTGCGCGTTCCTGGCAGACTGCAAGGCACCAAGGAGCAGTCTGCCCTGTAACCACGTCACCCCAGGAATACCCAACGGGACAGATGGACTCTTTGCCAGCTGCAACGCAAGAACCGATCACGCTCTTTCCCATTTACACTGTGTTTGAGTGTGTCCAGTTTGTACGTGCTACGAACCTCCCAGCCTAGCCCCAGTTTGACTCACTTGGTCTGAAGATACGGCCACGCTAAGCGATCCAAACAGCGACGGCATAGGAAAGGTCATGCTTCAAAAAAACCCCCAAAACCAAGCAAGGATGAAAGCCACCCCAATTTGTCTTTGCAGCTAGGATCCTTACCCGAGCTAGCCAGTGTTGCAGTAGTTAAATCTGATGGTGTGTGTGGTCAAAGTAGCACTGGCTATTGCCTCCAAGCTGGTAACACGAGGGCACAACCGATGCCAAAAATGCCCTCCGTGCATGACTTCTCTACATACAGGACTAGTAACATGCAATAATTAAGCATTACTGCATATATTTTAGCTTAATAATGATGACAGTAAAAAAGGCAAAAATTTAGGTGTTTATTATTATTATAGAAAGCACAGTATTATAATATTCAAAGAGAGATTATACAGAAATAATCTGCAAATACTTTTGGCAGAAAGTCTTGGACTGATGTACTACACCGACTGCACAAGAAGTCAATTCATAGTGGACAAAGCTACTTCAACAACCCACCACCCCCTCTCTTGCATGTTTTAAAACCAAAACCTGAGATATTCCTACAAGCATTCCGATCAGCGTGATTACAAGTTACCTGAGTTTATGTTCTTAACTTTATTCTACACTGTCAGAAAATCAGGGCCTGGATTACACAGCAATTATGAACACAGAATATATACCAAAAGCAGAGGTAATAATACTTGTATTATAGAGCATTTAATTTGTTTTTCCCCCTCCTCATCACCCGTCTCATAAGGAAATGAGACAGATGAAAATTCTTCTAAGTAAAGAGAAAAAAGTTACCTCCTCCAACAATCTGGTATGAACACACAGGTTGAAAATTCAAGATTAGCACCCCTAAAATATTAACAGTGGCAGACAGACTTTACGCTGGATAGTGTTATGCCTTATTTTCTCTCCTCCCTTATCTGCTGGGTTTCAGAACCAGCGTCAGAAAACGGAACGCGTTCTGCTCAGGTTGGCATGATCCAGGGAGACAGACACAACCTGACAAAGAGGAAACAGCATGCGGCTCGGGGTATTATCCAAAGGTCGTGTTTGTGCTGATGCAGCGGAAATGAGTTCGAGTCACAGCAGTCTCTCCTGTGTGAGGGTATCTGCACAGGGTTCTGGTTACTCCACCAGCACCAGCCATCCATGACTGCTCCCAACTGGCTGCAGAGCTTAGCGTGCACAGGAGACCCTCTGCCGTCACAGGGGGTCCCCATGGACACCCGGTTTTGGTCTACTTCAGCAGCCAGAGATCGTTCCTGCAGTTCTACCCCCCCACCCAGCTCGGTTTAAAGCAGAGCTTGAACTACTCTACTAGAGCAAGAAAGTCTCGCAGTACCAATATCAAAGCTCGTCTGCAGCCTCTCCCTCCTGACCCAGCTGTCTGGAGCAGGGGTGGTTATCGCCCAGACACACGGACAGTGACCGGGACAAAGCACGCCATCACGCTGCGAACACAGGTTCACACCTTACAGCAGCCACAGCCTCTGTAAGCACTTCTCTGTGGCACCAACTGGAAAAGCACAAGTTTTTCTTTCAGAAATACCCTCCCCTTAACTGAAAGGATCAAACACAGTACAGAAAACCTCACCTAAACCAAATGTCATGCACCCATTTAATTTTCACCTTTGTTAAATAATGTAATTGTCCCGGAAACGGTTCTTCAGCAATCCTGACGGCCAGCACTAGCATACAAGCTGTCCTCCAAAGAGGAGCGAAGCACGGTGGGTATGCTAGGGCAGCATGCAGCGGCAGTAAATAACCCTGAGCTTGCTTTGTTCCTTCATAAAATAAATGATTAATAGCTCAGTACAGTCAGTCTGCTATTCAAGGCTTGCTGAAAACTTTTGATCAGTTTGATTCGTTAACCTTTAAAACTGCCACTAAAAGAGGCTTAAAGTCTGAAGGAGAAGCATCATTTTAAAATGAACGCTTCAATTTTATTCAGAAATCCTAATATTTGACAAACCGAGTTAAGCATTGAGACATTCTGCTTCTCTTTAGAGGCACTCAGCATCTCACAGTCAGGTGCCGAGGAAGAAATGACACGGTAAAATAAAGCTGATGTAGACAAACAAAACCATGTTCATCTTAAAATTCAAAACCGATCAGGGCTGGGCGGAGAAAATGGGACTTCTTTGTGATTCTTAAGCATTTGGCCGACTCGCAGGTGGCTTCCCAACTGTCTCTTTATTTCTTTTGGTCTTAATGCTAATAAAAAAGGAACACAAACAGGGACTCAATTCCCCACACAATGCACTGGGGGAGGGCAGGGAGTGTAACTTATGTATCCGAAAAGTCTGACTCAGACAAATTACTTCTAGTTCACTTCCTTACTACACGCCCGCATTGTTCCAACACCTCGGTAGCATAAGGGGTTCATCCCCAGCTATCTGGTCACAGAAACAGCAATGCGGACTAATGCCGTTAAAGAACTGCTCCAATTACTTCCCTGGGGAAAGAAGTGACTTGCAGCTTAACGTCCTGCCCCAGCGCAGCAGGAAAACCAACCGTCCGCAAACGCCCGGCTAATGGCTGCTGCTCTACGGGACCCGCTCCTGGGATGAGCTGCAGTTTGTCTTCCAGAGACGGCAGCTGGTTCCTGGATCAGAAGTACAGATGGTTTGAGGCTCGGGCACAATTTGCTTTGCAAGTGAGGTTGGTGATAGATTCCCAAGAGAAAAAGGGCGTTTTGAACCAAGGACGACTGATGGCCGCTGCTGCCAGGTTGATACTAGAAACTTGCTATTGGCTTGTTTTTGCCATCCAGAGAGGACAGAGATACTACGGTAGCGTGAAAAGGACAGGACAGGTCACTTGTCCTTCACATGGCCAGAGAGGTGCTTCACAAGCAGCCATATGGTTGCAGTGGCAGAACTACTAGTGGAAGAAAATGATTTCGCCTCTAAGGGAAACACAAGCCTTTCTCAGAGAAAGGAATGCCAGCTATAAATTAAAAAGCTTAAAAACTTCTTACAGACACACGGCTCACATAACCAGCCTGCACCACCTTTTGCTACAATAATTATACACCGTCAAGGATTTGCAAGTCTAATAGTTCTAGGGAGAAATTTTCAAGCCATGGCTGCCAGATTCTGGAAGGGCTTTCTGAAATCCCATCAAAGCTTGTAGGAATTCAGCAATATTAGCAGAAAATTAACATTCTTATTTGGAACAATATTGAGGCTTCTGACATCAAAATAGAGAGCTGCACTCGTGCTGCTTCAAATATCCAGCAGTGGTGCAAATAAAGACACGATGTTTATGAAGAAATCAGACCTCACCTGTAGCTTCAGTATTTTTTCTGTACTTGAATCTTTAAGCTTATCTACAACAAACAAAATATTTAACTACAAAGAAACAAAACCAATTCCTAACTTCTATAGCTTTCCTGGGGTCTATCTGATTGAATACTTATTGGTGTTCAAATTCAAGTATCCAGTACAGACCATACTAGGAGGTGATGTTAAAAGCTGAAGGTACGTCGGACAGTTATTACGGCAAAGCAGTATCTTGTCTTTTGGGCACCAAAGGTGAGTACGTCATGGGTTTGCATGGGATGAGCACAAAGAAGCTTCTGCCTCTACACTGTAAGATCTCACAGTGAATGTAGTTAGATTCAGCATTAGATTCAGTTCGAGCCAGAAGACTCTAGTCCTACTCGACCTGAGACACTCAGGACATGATTCAATCCCAAACATCACAGCACCAGACTATGGGGAGGGGAACATTTAACTCTCCGTCTTGCTGACAGAGTGGAAAAACCAAGCGCAAAGCAGCACTCAGAAGATGCATAATAGTAACAGAAGAGCTTAGGAGGACAAGGAAAAATGACTTCGAGCCAGAAGGCTCTAGTCCTACTCGACCTGAGACACTCAGGACATGATTCAATCCCAAACATCACAGCACCAGACTATGGGGAGGGGAACATTTAACTCTCCGTCTTGCTGACAGAGTGGAAAAACCAAGCGCAAAGCAGCACTCAGAAGATGCATAATAGTAACAGAAGAGCTTAGGAGGACAAGGAAAAATGACTTAAGAAGAAATCGAGAATTTTTTTCTACTCAGAAGCTACCTGAACTTAAATGTACTGTTTCGGTCATACCATTAAATACGACAAACTGCTAGAGCCTGGAGTGTAAAGAGACTGCAAAAGACGATGAAGAACAGCATCAGCGGGACTATGAAATGGCAAGGTCAGGTCAGGATGGAAAAGCGGATGGGTACAGGGAGAACTAATCTTTTTCAAACGAGAGGTATAAAAGGGGCAAATAAAATAGTCCTGATTGAGACAAAAGGGAACTTAATGACTCTCTTGCGATATCACCACATAAAACCAGTGCGTCGGGAATTATTTTCACGAACATCATTAAGTGAATGGTATAGTGTTATACGGCAGTGTAAGTGCTTTGTAGTATTAACAGTTCGATTTTATTAATTTTAGAACAAAACCTGCTTTTTCTCAGCTATCTAGTCAATCTTCTGCTAAAGCCCGGTGGGTGCTGCACTATTCCTGGGGCTCAGCTGTGTATTTTTAAGAGGAAGATTCACTTGTACATTCATCCGTGGCCTCAACCTGGCTCAGCAACAAGCCTGCACAAACTACAGGTACATTCAAGTTTGATTACAGCTAACACATGCCACTGCTGAGGAGGGTAGATTCTGGACCTAAGAGAAACCCATGCGCTTATCCTCCACCAAAATAAAAGTGCTTGTTAAAAGTGTTGTTTGCTTCTACGTGTAAAGTACCCAGTGTGATAGCTGAGGGCGTGCGATGCGCCTCAGCCTGTTTTCAAAGCAGTCTAAGTTGCGTAACTGTTTTTGGTATTTAGTTCAAGCAGCTTTTAAAAACTTTACAAATTGAGTTTAAAATAATTACAGTGTATTAATTAGGGCACTCCGCAGAGGGACAGATTCAGCCCAAGTGCATGAAAGAAACCGAGCAAAAATAGTCCTTCTGAGCCTGATGTACGAGGCTTGTACCAGACAATCTTTAACAGTTTTATTCTCAAACACCTTATTGTCCTCCTGAGGGAAAACTGCAGAGAAACTCTCTTAAGGAGCACACAACTGTCCTTGTAATAGTTTAAACAAGATTTCCAGTCGTCCACAGAAATCAAGCAATTACGTCCCTGCTTTCAGACCTGAGCAGGTCCCCCACTCCCATCACACTACGGTGAGCACGGCAGCACAGAAAAACGCTTCTGTCTTGTGAGCATTCAGACAATCCCTAGAACATTTTTTTCATGACTAGACATACTCCCCACTTACTGTCAGGCTGTCATTTTGTAAGTATATTTAGCTTCTTTAAAAAATAAAACCACATACTTGTAGGGAAAATAAGGCCTCTTCTAAAAAAGACTGGTTTTAACTCAAGATTCCCAAGGCATTTTACTCTCATTGAGGACTGCAACAAGTTTCTGTGTGGTATTTACTCGCTCTAAACAGAGCCAAGAGAAGACTAATCAGAACATTTTGGCCAGGACACAAGAAGCAACTGTGCTTGATAGATGTTAATTTAAAAAAAATCACCAGTCAAGAGCAACAGAATAACCTTTTCCCTTAGCTGCTGGAAGGCACCGTCCCATTTAAAGGTGTTTTACAATGAACCACCTACTTGCTGTCTGTCCTTTTGTTATAAACCAGAAAGTCAGAAATGTCATGCCATACATTACTATCATCATACAGGTAGGTCATGGAGGACTGCAGAGAAGGCTGCAGAGTTTGCCGGTGGTATTCAAAGAGCCAGAGAACTGTCCCCCATATCAGAGCAGCGACAAGTGGAAAGGGATCCTGCTTTGGCTGTGGGACATAGCCCTTTTCCACTGCCAGCCGAGACAAGCCAAACAGGATACGAGACAGCAGGTACATAATGATCTGCATGAAGAGAAAACCCAAAGAACATTAGGTAAATAACCTGACCACATATACTAGCCAGGTTAAGTGATTTAGAAGCCGTAAGCCAGGCAAGAGGAGTGGAAACAATTTACCCAACTTAACCGCAAACAGGCGGTAGGTTCATGTATCAAGCAGTCTTTATAACTGCAGATGTTTGTGTCTTCCCTATGTCCTCAAAGTCCTACTCCTCTGCTGGCGCTCTAATTTAGTAATCAACAAGTCACACTTGATGCAACATATCTTTGCAGTTGCACAACTTTTATCTTTGCTCAGTTAATGCTACCTCAGATGCTGCTTGCTGATAGAATAGTCACGGAGCAGCCCTGCCAACCTGCCAAGCAGATACAGACTCGGTAGACCGGACACGTCCTAAAACCAGGCTGAAGGTATGCTCTTGCAGGTGATTGCATAAGTAAAACACTTTTGATTAATCTGCATCTGTGCGTTTTACTGACTGATTAATCCGTGACTGAGTATTAACAACCAAACTTCCCCTGAGCAGCTTTTGTCAGTTTAACCACTTTAGTTAAGTGTAGCTCAGTAACTGACCGTGCTCTACACTCACAACGTTCAAGCTACAGGGTTTAGCCCTGCAAGCGGGGAGACGAGGAGCGCAGGCAGCCTGTTACCACAGCTCAGATGACAGGTGGGGTAACCCAACGGCTTTGGATTGCGCGACTGCCTGACTGCCTTCCTAGGTATACAAGTGCAGCTCTGGAGGTAAACCTGGTCTTTTAGCTCTCAAACTGCACACACCGTTCCCGGAGGCACGCAACCACCGCGAGGATTTGAGCGCAGCGCAGCCAAAACCAGAACTTGTGCAAAGAGAAATACGATAAAAGAATAACGCTACACGGTAAGAACCGCCAGAAACATGCCAGGCTATACTAACCACTTCCTGGCACACGATCATCCATCTGTTGGGTTTTTTGTCAAGGAAACTTTCAACAAACGCATTTACCTGGCTGTTGATGGGATTGTTCTCACCGAACACTAGCCAACCTCCAATGCAGGCTGCAAAGAAAGAATGAAATGGAATTTTTTTCCCCTGTAGTCGGGACTGCAACGCCATCAGCCCCTTGTAGGTGGACACAAAATACGCCAAGTTCCGGGAATGAGTGTACGTAGCCTGAGCAATCGATTTCAATTTCTCTCTTAAACTGAAGAAAAGAAACAGACAATTAGAAGAGCAAAAAGGCAGTAGCCCTGCAGTCACTCAGCCTGGACACTATGCCCCTCTGGCCCGCCCGTCTAGACCGACAGCTCGGGCACCCCACAGAACAGCTACTTTGTGAGGGAGGACAAACCCCTTCACCTCTGGCTCACTCATCAGAATACCTTCAACAGCTCTACTTAGACTGTGGACTGCGCTTTTGTCTAATTCCATGAATAGTCAAGGAGCCTTTTTTTTTTTCTTCATTGCTTTTTTTTTTTTTTTGCTTAAGTGCAAACCTCTGGCATAAGCGGGGAAAGCCACAACATGCAGTGCTGGAGCTTGGCTTCCCTGATTTGAATGGAGAGCGGAGTGCTGCTGTTTGCATCTGCTAATTTCTCCTCTGCCCACTGGTTCTCATCAACCATTGCACAAGCGGCTGACCCCCGTGAGTATGTATATTTGTGTACGCGTATGTGTGTGCGTACGAGTTGTCCTGGTAGCTATCAGAACAACGGGCTCTGACCACGGCTCCCGGGTCTTTCTGCTTTTTAAGCCCTCTGGAAACATGAACGATTGAATGCTTGAATGAAAGCATTCTAAGCAGTAACACAGAAATACAGAACTAGGGTTCGTACCTTCCACTCTTGAACAGGAAAGTCATCACCAGAGCATGTGGGGCACGAATTTTTGCTCCGTAACTGCAAAAGTGAATAGGTATTTCAGACTTCTTGTATTATGTTATCAAATGATTGTATTTCTATTCTATTGACAGGCAAAACATGCTACTTCAGCAATTACATCTTACTTTTAAGTCAGCCCAGGAGCAGCAGCACACCAAACCAGAAGGAGCCCAGGCCACAGGCTGAGAACGCGCACCCCAATAAGCCAGGCCCAAAGGGGACCCCAAAAGCGGTTAAAACCCCGCTGATCGGTGAGGGAGACGGAAACGCCCCTCCCGAACCCCTCCCGCAACAGCCCCGGCCTCCTCACACGAACGGCGGGCACACGGCGGCCCTCCCGCGGCCGAGGCGCTCCCCACACCGCCCTCCCGCCCCTC